GTTTCTAATTCTACTAATGGTGTTTCATTAACAATCTTCCAAGTTTCTTAAAACCTTTAAAGAACTTAAAAAAATAAATTAGAATTTTTTTGTAAAAAAAAACTTACCTTTGTCTATACCAACTTCTACCAAATGGGGGGAGATTCAGGGGGGAGAAACTAAGTGGTGGAGATGACTGAGCCCACACCAAGACCATACACCTAGACCCATGACTTAGAGCAAACGAACCCACCCACCGACAACCCATAGGAAGCAAAACGAAAAAGGAGAACTTAGAACCACCTATGACCATCAACAGGAAGGTAGGAAATGGTTGGAAACATTGATTGATAGAGGTCGAGAAAGACAGAGGAAAAGGCAGAGAAACAGAGAAAACATCAATGCTAGTGCAAAAACGAAAGGACTGTGAGGGAGCTGGAGAGATTTTAAATACATATATTAAATGATTTCTTAAAGAAATGATGCAAAACCAGCCTACGCTACCTAGAAAATAGAACCAAATACAATTTATGTAACATCCCAAAAATTTTAAGACTCAGATTTATTTTAAAAAAAATAAAATAAAATATCGATAATTAAATTAAAATTTAGAATAATTTGATAGAGGTCCAGAGTTTGAATTTTACTAAGCAAAAGTTTGGTTTTATTTGATTTTTAACTATGGGAAAAATTACCAAAGTTGACCCGAGCTTTTGTGCTATAATAAAAAATGTTGGGCCCTTTCTTGTAATTTTCCCCAAAGTCTGATATCAGCTTTTTTAAACAGAAACCAGACGCAGAAATGTAGAAATGAAACAAGAAAAAGAAAGGAAACGCGTGAGAGAGAGAGAAAGGAAGAAGAAAGGAGAAAGAGAGGGAGTTAGGCTCGGATCTAGGAGGCTTTGTGGCCGTTGCAAGCTTGGCTACACGATAGGTAAACTTCCTACTTTAATTCTCTTCTTTTTCTCTTTGTTTTTCTCAATTTTGGAAAAGGAAATTTCTGAAATTTGATCCAAAATGCTTTATTTTTGTAAGCTTTTATTTCTTTGGATCCTAGAGAGGATGATTTGAGTTTCTATATAATGATCTAATATTTTGAGTAGATAATTGGATGAAAAGAGGTGTTTTGGGTACAAATTAAACCCTGAGAGATTGGGTTTTACTCCTCAATGGTTTAAGCCTATTGATTTAGTTATAATTTTGCTATTTGAGCCCAATAAGATTTAAATTAAGGTTTGGTTTTCATTATAAGGGCTAATGGTGAAAGTTGATGACACTAAGTGAAGGTTTTTAATTGATAAAAAATTATATAAATTGGAAATTTGCCTAGTGATGGCTAATAAATGGTTTTGGTGGTTAAGTGATACTATGTGAATGGTTAGTTTAATATATGGACCATTGGGATGGATTATAGCTCATAGACCCAAGTTGTGTGGTATGAGTTATAGTCTTCATTAATGTTATTTGACATGATAAGTGATGTGGATCACTTATATGTTGTAGGAATTGTTGGTGGAATTTGTTCGGAAGTTAAGGAACAAGTCGAGCCCTATTTTGTACAAGAGGAACCCTTTTGGTACTAAAGGGTTGAGGTAAGGGGAATTTATATTTCTTATTACCTTGTTTTAGCTATTTTTGAATAAATATTACTAGCTATCATGCATTACATGTTTTAAAAGATTAAATGTGCTTTATAAGGGGTTATGGGGTACTACTTTGATTATAGTGCAAATATATTTTCTAATTGTTTAACAACAATGTTTTTATGGAAACGAGATTTGTTTACATGTATTTTAATCATAAGGAATAGAAGTTGCACTTAAGGAAGTGTAACTAAGTAAGGTACCTTAGATAGGCTAAGGAACCGTTTAAGGGAGATTTATAAATGTTATACTACCTTAGAGTGTTGAAGTGGTCAATACTTAGGAAAGGTAGACACGAATAAAAGGCATGATCTCGGTAAGAGTTCACCAATGAGAAGGTGTGGACTTTTGATATTCCATGGCACACTGCCAGTACTCAGTGTTGCCTTACGTATTATGGGCTTAGTGCACTAAAGTGGTTAGTGTATTGAGTGTTTGACACCTCTCAGTGGGGGAGGGAATCCGACATATGAAGTGTGAGGTTGAGTGTCTAGGCCAAGGTAGCCCTCACATGGAGAGTAAGTCGGGCTAGCTCTGGGAGGGAGTTAGCTTTGACTGCTCAGGATTCACGTCGAAGGGGCATAGGCGGTTTGGTGGATTAGATCATGCCTTAGATTATGTTTTGTGCCTATGGAGGTACAAGTAGGTATAAGGTTTACCTACGAGTTAAAGAGTGCCAGGGGCATTCTGTTGGTCATGAAAGGTCATACCGGCCTAGGTCTTGCATTCATACATTTTAAATGGCTAAATTATACTATGTTGAATTTATTATTCATTTATTTGATTATGACTTGCTTTGTAATAATCAATGTAGATTTCTCTGTTACTGAGACTGTGGTTGTCTCACCCCTTTCTTTTCAATATTCTAGGTCCAGGCGAAGGAACCAGTGGAGGACGGGGAAAGGAGTAGAGCTAGGGGTTGTTTGTGAATTGTAAAGAACTGCAACCCCTTTCTTTTGAGCAAATCTATTGTAATGTATTTAGGATTAGGGTGCCAGTAGGATATGATTATGTATATATGCATGAGTATGTGTGGATTGTATGGCTTGTGTATAAATTTTTGTTTGCTTGTAGACTTATGGCTAGGAAACTTGGCTATGGTGTGTGGTTTTGATGGATTTATTTAGTAGACCAAGTTTTCACTACAAGCAAATATTTATTTTGATATATATGTGATTTCACAAGCAAATGCAAAGTGGTTGCATTGCAAATGGTGTGCTATGGGCAAACATATACCTTGGATAGAGAGAGTGGGTGCGTGGGCCCCACAGAGATCTCTGAGCCAAGTGAAAATGTTTTGCTTGTGTATTCATATGTGTATATGATATTTAGAATAGTTTTTGGCCACTCTTGTGTGATTTATGCATTTTGGGGGTTTAGGGTCCATTTTGAGAAATGGCACCCGAGTGGTCAAATTTTGGTATAAAGGGTTTTTCTACCAGTTAAATGTTCTATCAGGTGTTTTTAGTCCTATTTGACGTGTCCAAAGTGTTCCCACAAGTTTGTGACCATCAGGATGAGATTTGGACAATTTTGAAAATGGTTTTTACTAAAAACCTGCACTTTTACATCCGGGTGTCCAAATCTTAATCCGACCGTTTGATTTTTCTAAAATTTAGGTCACAAGTAAAACCTTTTATAAAATTTGTGTGGGCTTTGGAACCATGTCAATCGGATGTCGGACAGAGAAACGGAGCACTTCGGAATTTGGTCTGGAGGAGCTGTCATGACAGCAATATATGTTAATGTTGCAACATGCACGAAATTTAATCCGTCTATTGGATCTTTCCAAAATTTGGTATGCTAATAGTACTATTTAAAAGTGACATGTGAAATTTGGAATCGCTCCGATCGGATGTCGGATGATGAAATGGTGCACCCCAGAAGTTAGTCCGGAGGTGCTGTCATGACAGCTTTTTAGCTGTCATGACAGCAAAAATAGTCAATCTTTTAACATGCCTAATTTTTAATCCGATCGTTGGATCTTTTTGAAATTTGGTACACTTATAGTACCCTTTGAATGTGACGTGTGAGCTTTAAAATCACTTTGGTTGGGGGTCGAATGATGGAACGGCACCTCCTGAAAGTTGGCCTAGGAGGGCTGTCATGACGGCACTTTGCTTCCGTGCGCTATAGGTAAATCCTATAATTTTTTTTAAGGTTTAAAATGATTTATTTCTTAAGTTGGTTAGAGGATCAACTCTTTAACCACTCTTAGTTTATTTGAATTATGTGATTTTTTGGATAACACTCGGGGCAAGTGTTACAACTTAGGTGAAAGAAATGAGGCAAAACCAGTTCACTAAGGAAGACGGGGATGGAGGAAGGAAATCTATAATTTTCAGCTTACCAGCTCGCGCTAGCTGAGCCTCTGCACGTTTTCACGTGAACAATAGCTTATTCTCCTGAGTTCCATGCTTCTTTTTCTTTCCATTATAGGAGCATTTTCGTCTCTTCTTAGTGCAAATTAAATACTATTAGGACCTCCTAAACTGCAGTGTAAATTCAGATTTAATTGGTCTTCAGCTGTGAATATCTTTCTCTAGCGATCATTGGCTGTAATTTTCTCTAAATTAAATGTCGTCGCTAAAAGTGGACCTTTTGCAGTGACTTTTTTGTCATCACTAAAAGTTATCGCTAAAATTCTTTTTTTTTTTTTTGCAATGAGCCTGCAAAGAGTTGAGTGACCTAAATTGCTCTGCTTGTAAATGTTGTGTATATGCTTTATCCTTTCCTACCGTCGTAAGCTTGTACAAGGACTTCATTCCTTTCCTATCATAGTAGACAAAACCAAATTGGTTGCCTAAAATGATAGTTTTAGACTTTACTACTATAGTAGCTCTATGCTTGCTTAAAAACTAATATACTATAGTAGGGCTTTGTTATAAGAGTAGGTTTTTTCTAATATCTTGGTAGAGCTGTAGGTGAGTCATTTTTCTATCATGATAGAATTTATGTAGTTCATTTTCTACCATGATAGGGGATCACCTAATGCGGTGGTCAATTTGCATAGATAGAGCTGGCTATTAAAAGGAAAAGTCACCCGAGTGTTGAATAACCTCTTTCTCTCTTGTAAGATGCATCTGTTATATATACCTTAGGGTCATCGGGTTATTCGCTCCATCTTGGACCTAATATATGTCTCTCTCATAGAGCTGTCAATTGTTTTTATTTATTTTATTTAATTCCTGACACATTTGATATATGAAATAGAATGAAACAAAAAGAAAATAAAAAAAACTTCTTATAACAATAATTAAAAACTTAATTACTTATACATAATGATAATAAAAAATGAACTAAATAGGACATAATATCGATTTTCATATATAAGAGAAAGAGAATCCTTTTCACATCTTTTAACCAATTGACGCCATATATAATATAATCCTAAATATTTTCATGATCTTTTGGCCAAGTCTTTACACGAGTCAATTACGTTACAAAGGTTCACTTATTGCAACTTGCTTGCTGTATATGTATATATATATAGCCAATGACACTGCCTATAGGCTTGTACTTGAGTTGCCTTGAGGTATTTCAGTACCAAAGAGAATGTTGCCGTTGAAGTTTCTTTTTACTTTCCCTGCGTCCGTCATCAGTGAGGCATCTAAATTCAACTTTCTTATTGGGATCACCATTCGCTGATCTAAAACCGCCATTATTACTACCAGTAATCCTGGAGCAGATACTATTGATAAAACCTAACTTTTGTTTGTCTTTTGGTTTCTCATCATTATCATCCTCCTCATCAGAGCCCACCAAATAGTCTCTTTCTTCACCAGAAGGGCTATCGCAAAGGTGGCTCTCATCCTCATTATGATGATTTACATTATTCTTCCTCCTGAAGACCAAGGTATTTTCGTCTGATCCTATTCCTCCATAAGGATAGCTTGTGAATGAGTCTTTGATGGGAGAAAATGGATTCTTATTGAGGTCAGCAATGGAGTCAAAGGAAGTCGGAGTGGTGGTTGAAGAAGAGAATGGAGAGAAAGAAGAGGCAGAATGTGGTTCAGAGGAAGATGAACTACTTGATGCTGATGGAGAGTACTCTGAACTTCCAAAGCCTTGGATTTCATTCGTTATTTTCAGAGCCTTTAAGCGTGCTTCTCGTAGTGTTGGTCCACCTTGCAACAGCTTCAGTATTTGGTCAGATATTTTCTGCATTCTTGCTCCCCAATTAAACCTGCCGCAAGTATAGACTTTTATTATGAAATTAAAATAAGTAGGATTAGAGGGTAATTGGGCCCCTAAACTCACTACAACAAACTACAGTGTTTTTAACTTAGAGTCGAAAATAATAGAATTTTCTACAAATATTTATGACCGTCAAAATATCATGTCAAGATTAAATTAGTGTTTTCAACACTACTGGAAGAGAGTTTTTTCAACAACTATTTTGACCCTATTTATTTCAACAACTATTTTATTAAATCTGTCAACTTTTATTTTTTAACAAACTTTTTTAGTATTGATAAAGTTGGTAGAAATACCTTATAAAAAAGATCGGACAGAGAAATATTTTAAAATTTATTTCAATTAATATTTTTTGGAAGACTTCTCACTTTTTTTAGTAAAGGAAAATACGCACTTTTAAAATGTTACATACATAGATAATAGAGATTAGTATAATTATAGACAGATATTTTGATATGTAGTTATTTATTATTAATATGTTGAAAAAAGATATTTATTAACAGCAGCTACTTTGTTCCATTGTGGTTTGTGGCTTTGATTCAAACTTCAAAACACGTGTTCGAGAGCTGGCATCTGAAAGGATATTTATTAACACTCCTTTAATATGCAAAATGATAAAAATATATAGTACTATAAGTCTAGAAGTGTATGTGACCATAAATTCTTTTTTTGTACAGTGCTTCTTTTCAACTTTTAAAATGATATAATGTAGTCTCTACAATTAATAAAAGTTAATTTTAACTGATAGTTGACCAAAAAATGATAAAAAATAACAAAAAAAATTAAAAACAAGTACCCAAAAAATTATAGAAAATGACTAAAAAAATTTTCTAAGTTTTTTTTCTATCATTTTCTTATCAATTAATTGTCAAATTTAACTTGTGTTAATGATAGACGTTACACTACACCATTTTCAAAAGTGAAAAGGAAACATTGCACCAAAAACGAATTTAGGATCCCATACATTTAGGAACCTAAAATTTAAGGGCTATGTTATACTGCTATTTAACCCACATAAGTAAAAGAAATCAAATTAATTTATATCAATGAAGCTTCATTGTGTGTGTGTGTGTGTGTGTGTGTGTGAGTGAGTGAGTGAAAGAGAGAGAGAGAGAGTCACTATATGCGTTCATTGTTTTCAGACTAAAACGGATAAGGTGTCCTTTTTTATTTTTTATTTTTTATTTTATCAATAATTAGACATATTAATTACTTGTGATTCCTTGTGAATAATGCAACATATTATGGGGTCCATTTTGTTCAATTCCAGCACCACCTTGAAATGGCAATAATCTAGATCCCATTGCTAGACAATATGCATATAGTTTCGTTGGTATTAAGGTTTGGAATGGTGTTTCCCATGACAATCACGATTGCAAAAACTTTTTGCATGGTTGTTCCTGATGTCTCCGAGAACCAATTATATATAACTTGCTAGTAAATAAAAGTTATTGTTAGAAAGAAAACCGATTATAGAAATTAGTGATACTATATATATTTGTGACATAAGGGTTAGAGAATATGTGTGGAATTTAGAAAAGTACCCTCTTTCATCAATGTGGGTAAAGCTTCCGACTTCCTCAATGACTTCAGAATCACATTGAAACTCAACAGAAAAGTCCTCTGGGCCATGGGTTAGCAAGAATTCAAGTAGAACCAGTGCTTTGTAAGATCGCCTCCAGTCGTCAGTGTTAAAGCACCCCAATCTATGTTTCAATATACTATAGTAACTAATATAGTCACAACAATATATAAAGCAATTACATTGAAATGACTTCAAAATCACATTGAAATTAGTTCTAATTACGCACTACACTTATTTCTACTACATTGAAATATGTTACTTTAGTCCTTATTATAAGATGCATTTTAAAAGGATTTTTTGGTCCTTAATATAAAGACCCATGGGATATTAATTACATTTTTTAAATATTACATTTATTTAAATTCATTAATTATAAGAAATAATGTAATGCAAATTTGAAAATTTTTTATTTAAGTAGAGGTAAAATGAAAAGTTTATTCTATTTTTAGATAAAATGATTTAACCACCTCTCCTCTGTGAGATAATTAGATGTACTTTATAATAGGGATTGAAAGGAGAATATTTGTATGTATGTATGTATGTATGTATATGTCACGACTACAAGCCCTTTAAATAGAACTCACCCCCAAAAGGCATGTCATAAGGAGAAAGTGCCTAGCTGACTTATAAACCACACTCCATCAATGTGACCTCCTAATGTGGTACTCATAACAATATATGTATTTATGTATGGGTAAAGAAGAAGAATCACCTTTGGTGAAGAACATCAACAATTCTCCAGTAATCATCCACCTCAAAGGACGCTTCAGCAATTCTTGTCATTGTTTTGGCATCTGGGCTACATGGATCCTTATTTGTTGCCTCCTCAGCCAGCCTGCATGTTCATAATAGCAATATTGTCACTGTCCCTATGAACATTTCATCATCTCATTTAATTACCGTTTATACGAATTTTCACTATCATCAATTCATATAAACCCTGTGGTTTTCATAACCCGTTCTCTTTTCTAAAATATTTGGTGATATATATCTAAGATATTACCGAGGCACCTAGTGACGGGGGAGAGGATGTGGTTAGGTGGCGTGGTTCTTGTGATGGGAAGTATATTAGTGTGGCTGAGATGTATACTAGGCCGAGGGGTGAGGAGGAAAGGATTTGGAGTCTGGTGTGGACATGGAAGGGGCCGCGGCAAATCCAAGTTTTGCTTTGGCCGGTTGTGCACAATAGGCTCTTAACTTCATCTAGAAGAGCACGATTGATGGGTGGATCATCTTCTTGTATGCGTTGTCAGGATTGGGGAGGAAGACATTTTGCATGCCTTAAGAAACTGCATTCATGCGAAGAGGATTTGGAAGGGAATGGGTAGAAGGGAGGTTGACAATATCTTTTTGGCTGTTGATTGGAGGGAATGGTTGTCTAAGAATCTAAGTTCTAATTGTGATTGGAGTACGCTATTTGCTGTGACTTGCTGGTTGCAGTGGCACTGGAGGAACAAGGTGTTTTTTGAGGATGGTTTTAGTATGCCTGAAAGCCCTGCTCGTGTCATCTGGAATTTTGTGTAGGAAAAGAAGTATTTTTTGAATGTGAATGTTGGTGTAAGGAGGGTGAACAGGACAATTTTGGTTGGACGGAGACCTCCTGTTGAGGGCTGGCTGAAGCTGAACTTTGATGTGGCCAGAAAACTCTCAGGGTTGGCAGATTGTGGGGTGATTAGATATTGGAAAGGAGAATGGGTTGCAGGGTTTGTGAAGCAAATTGCGAATTGTTCGGCGTGTTATCTCAGTTATGGGATACTACTCCCTTTGGTTATATTTATAAAGTAGAGAGAGAAAAAACAATTTATCTTATTTATAGGTCACATAATTAATTTATCATAATTTTCCCATTTTACCTTCCATTAAGAGAAAGTATGTTTTAATAAAGGCAAAATTTAAAACTTATTAATTTTTTTTAAAGAGGGTTAACAAAATTTAAAGTTTTTCTTAATTCTGATTAAATATGTTGAAAGCCTCTTGTAAATAAGATTATAAGAGTAATTAAATATATAATTTCTCAAACCAAAAGGAAAAAAGAAATTAGGAAGACACTTACAGTTCAGCTTCAGTAACATCAGTAAATTTCAAGCGGGCAACTTTGTACTTTTCTTGTAGAAATGACGATGTCTGCTTCTTGATTTGCTCAAGGAATGGAGTTCCCATTGTGCTACTAAAAATAAACTCCACAATTTGTGTTCACACAAAGAAACTGGTTTTTATGATAACTATACATTATCCAGGCTAAACAAAATTAATATTCTGGGAAACATTTGTTGAAACCCATAAAAGGGATACAATCCTCCCATTATAAAGAGGATAAGGAACCGAATTCAGCTTCTCAAATGATCAAAGAAGAGACAAAGAAGGAAGGAACCACAAATTCATGGATTTCCATTAATGTCGAAGAGAAATATAGAGAAAGAGGGAGGAACCGAAACGTAATAAGGACTGAGCTAATTTTAGAAAATTGGACTAGGTAAAATCCATGATTTTGTCTCTAGCATGCAGTACCCTGAATTTTTTATATTGACTTTTTTTTTAATGATATATCACAGATTATACGGTATAAATAATAATTATATATGTTTTTTATAAATTTGAGGTTAAAATGCATAAAACTCTTTGAATTTTGAGGTAGTTACATATGACTCTCTTCATTTTTAAATGTTTTAAATTAACTCCCCCAACCTTTCATTTTATTTTTCAAATTAACTATTATTTTATTAGTATAATTATTGTCAAGTCAAATTAATGCAATACACATGGCACATGATATGGAAAAAAATATTTTTATTATTTTTTAATACAATTTAAGGAGGGAGAAAATTATAATTTGCATTTTTAACACACATGACGATGCTCTTGTTTTTTTTAGTTGAGAGACATTGTTTTCATTATTTACAAGGTAGCACAACTTAAGAAAAAAATATATAATTTTATTATTCTTTATCAATTAAAACAGTTTTTGATATTAAACAAATGAAAAAAAATATCGAAAATCTGTTATTAATAAGAATCTATGAGTTGTTTTTAACAAAATTGATGCAAAACAGCAATAGCAAAAAAAAAAAAAATCTTTTTCTAAAGCTGCACACACATGCCACTATATTTGTAACATACCAATAACATATTTTTTTATTTGAACAAGTAATGAAAATTTAATTCAAAGGAGAAAATAACAACTACAAACAAATAAGAGTGTGAAAAGAAAAATAAAGCAGATAACAAAATTTATATGACTCATATTAATGGTAACTTTTTAATATTCTTCTTTCCATTTGTTTGATATAAAAAGCTATTTTAAGTGATTAAGAATAATAAACTTACAATTTTTCTCTTAAATTATTTACTCGTGAACAATGAGAACAAAGTCGTTCAACTTAAAAAAATGATAGCATCGTTATGTGTGTTAAAAGTCAAAATTACAATTTCACCCCTCCCTAAATTGTGACGAAAGGTAATAAAAAAAATTTCCATGTCATGTGTCATATGTATTACATTACTATGACATGACAATAACTATATTAATAAAATAATAGTTAAATAATGGTAGGAAACTTTGAAAAACAAAATTAAATGTTAGGGAGGTTAATTTTAAATATTGAAAAGGGGGAGTCATATGCAACTGTTTCAAGGTTTTAGGGAGTTTTATGCATTTTAGCATAAATTTAAATGTAACAATCACATTTAGTTTTACAAATTTATTGAAAAGATTGTGTCAATAACTTCAACTAAACAATTGATTTGTCAAGCCCAAGATAATATACTTATAACTATCATTTGTTCATATCATTTTGATATCATTTTCCCTAGCTTTTGGCACTCTTTAGGGGTATTTAGTGTGTATTTGAAGCATTTTAGATCATTTAGGATAATTTTGTAATTTCCCAAACTTTTGGGGTAAAAGTGCAAATTTCTAAAGATTAGGGGCAAAACTGTAATTTTTGAAAATCAATTCAGAAAATAGAAAAACTCATCATTTGCTAATTTTTAGTTCTTCATTAATTCCATGAGTTTAATTTGAGTTAATTCAACTTAGATTGTGAATTATTTACTAAAACATACATTAAAGTACACACTTCTTATACTTTAATTGTACTTTCCATGAACTTTAGAAGTATATTAGTTTTAGCTTTTATAATCAATAACTCCTAAGAAACTTTTCATAACTAAATTCATCTCCTAATCTTCCATTTAATCACTTTAATTCACTTTACCACATTTCTAAGTTGGATAAATTCATTACACAATAGAATTATTTGTGCACAACTTGCTATTTAATGAGTTCATTGTATTTTTTAAGCCATGGGAAGCTCTTCGATGATGATGGCAAAACCCTTGCATGAAATTGGAGCCTTGGATGAGCTATTTTGGTGATCAAAAGGTCGCAAATGGATGATGAAATCTCAAGAAAACACAAGGATAGTCATGACAATTTCATATTCCAAAATTAATTCCCTTCCCATTATTTTCAAAATTCTCCTTCCATTTTTAAATTATTAGTTGTCTTCCATTTCCATTTATTGTCATTTAAATAATTCATTTTCAAAATTCATAGCTATACATGAAACACCATGTGAAAGGACCCTTAGATGCACACAAGGCTCACATTACTTTAGGGCACTTAGTGGGTGTGAGTATGATTTTTAGTCATTAGATTGATCTAAATGAGGCTCAAACACCCTAAACTAGTCTAAATTTTGTGCTCCATAACGACAACCCCCTCATTCACATTTTTTTCACTCATCTTCAACCTCCATTCATCTTCATCTTTTCTCTCAAAAACACCCATAAATCCTAGAATATCTTTGACCATTTCTCCACCTTAAAACCCTCCATTTCAATATCTAAATCTGCCATTCTTCTTCTCTCACCTGATTGTGTGGTGAATTTTGGTAATGTCAAGGTAGACATTACATCACTCACAATAGTTTTAGGCAAACCATCCAATCTCACAATTTCTTTAAAGAACAAGTCAGCAATATTCACAGCATCATTTGTCTTAGAACAAGCAATAAAATGGGCCATCTTAGAGAATATATCAACAACCACAAAAATGAAATCTTTTCTAGTAGAAGATTTAGGCAATCCAATCATAAAATACATAGATATGTGTTCCTAAGGATGGGAAGGAACAGGTAAAGGCGAATACAATCCATGAGGTTGAACCTTATCTTTCGCCTCTCTACACTTAATGCACTTAGAACAAATGGCAATACATCTTTCCTTGTATGAGGGCAAAAGAAATGCTCAGATAAAATAGCTAGGGTTTTCTTAATCCCAAAATGTGCCATCAAACTACTACCATAGGCTCCCTTGGTTAACAACTCACGCATAGAAGAATTAGGAATGCACAATCTTTCCTTTTTAAATAAAGATCCATTAAATCTATAAAAATCATTTAATCCATGATTCTCACAAGATTTTCAAATATCCCCAAAGTCAGAATCAAATGGATAAAAATTCTTTAGAACTTCAAATCTGAGTAATTGAGCATAAAGGTGAGTAAGAAGACTATACCTCCAAGATAGGGCATCGGCCACAACATTTTCCTTACCTTGCTTATGCTTAATCACATATCAAACTATCTCTATGAATTCAAGCCAACAGGCATGTCTCTTGTTTAGCTTGCCTTAGGATTTAAAGAACTTTAAGCTCTCGTGATCTAAATGAATAATGAATTCCCTTGGCCACAAGTAATGTTGCTATGTTTCTAGGACTCTTTTCAAGGCATATAGCTCCTTATCATAAGTAGAGTAGTTTAAGGCAGCTCCACATAACTTTTCACTAAAGTAAGCAATCAGTTTAGAATCTTGCATTAAAACAGCACCTATACCAATCCTAGAAGCAACATACTCAATCTCAAAAGCTTTATTAAAATCAGGAAACACAAGTAAGGGAGCATTAGTTAACTTATCCTTTAAGGTTTGGAAAGCCCTTTCTTAAGCCTCACCCTACTTGAAAGTCATATGCTTCTTAACTAGCTTATTAAGAGGTGTAGCAATAGTGAAGAAATCTTTAACAAATCTTCTGTAGAAACTTATTAAGCCATGAAAGCTTCTAAGTTCAGTTGCATTCTTGGGAGTTGGCCATTCACGAATTGCAAACACTTCTTAACATTAGCATAAAGTTTATATTTTCTAAGAATGTTAAAGACAATTTACAAGTGATTCACATGTTCAACCAAAGATTTGCTATAAATCAACATATCATCAAAGTAAACCATAACAAATTTCCCACTAAAATTTCAAAAAAACATGATTCATTAAATCTATGAAAGTACTAGGAGTATTTGTCAAGCTAAAAGGTATGACTAACCATTTATATAGACCAAATTTAGTTTTAAAAGTAGTTTTCCATTCATCTCATTCTTTCATCTTAACCTGGTGATATCCACTCCTAAGATCAATTTTAAAGAAATAAAAGGCACCATGCAACTCATCTAACATATCATCTAATCGAGGCATAGGATAACAATATTTCACTGTGATTTTATTGATGGCTCTGCAATCCACACACATCCTCCATGATCCATCTTTCTTGGGCACCAAGATGATCGGTACAGTATAAGGACTTAAGCTCTCACAAACAAAATCCTTTTTCATCAACTACTCCACTTGGCGTTCAATCCACACACATCCTCCATGATGCATCTTTCTTGGGCAACAAGATGATCGGTACAGTACAAGGACTTAAGCTCTCACGAACAAAGCCTTTTTTCATCAACTACTCCACTTGGCATTCAATCTCATTTTTCTCTTCAGGGTTTACCCTATAAGCAACTTTGTTAGGAATGGAAGCTCTAGGTATGAAATCATTTCTATGTTCAATTGCTCTCAAATGAGGAAGTCCATCTAAGACCTCATCAAGGAATAAGTCTCCAAATTCTTGTAACAAAGAAATGACACCAGAAGGCAGAGAAGGATCAAGTACATCAGTAGAAAAACAAACATCCTTACAAACAAGCAGTAAAACTTGTTCACTCTTCACAGCCTCTTTAATCTCACTTTTTTTATCACTCATATTTTTACTCCTATTTTTACCACTCTTCTTGCTTTTCTCTTTCTTTTTCTTTCCCACTCTATCTTTTGCTTTAAGAAACTCATCTTTTTGCTTTTCTTTTTCTCAAGTTTGCCACACTCCATCAAATCTTTTCTTTCTTTTTAAGCTTGAGCAATCCTCACTTGATCCTCATAAGCTTGAATGGGCTTAAGAGGCATAAGTACAAAAGTCTTTCCTTTAAATGGCACATGATA